ATGATGTCTGTACCCAGCCTGATTCACATAAAAATCAATACTTTATATGATCTTAAGAACAAGAAATGATTTTCAGGACACTGAGAGATGGAACATCACTTTCTACCACAGGAAGGATTCTCCTACCAGCGCCTGCATCTTGACACTTGGTCAAGGTGGGAAACATTACAGTTGTTTCCGATTCCATTACTGCTGCTCCTTTCTCTTCCCATACACGCCACAGAAATGTCCTCTGTCCTCAGGAATCTCTCATCATCACTAGATCTCCTCGCTGACCACTGAATTTTTCCCATTAGCCCTCTCTCACTCCATCTCTGGCACAGCACGGGGTCGCCTGACCGATGCCCAAGAATGCACCGCTCTTGACGCCCATCAAGAACGGGGCTGCGTAAAACAAGACGTAGCCGCCGCTCGGCTCCCCCCTACTCCTCCCGCAAGGGCCGGTCAACCAGCGCGAGCGTTTACCTGACTTCTGAAGGGAGGAGATTCAGGACAGTGCAGCCCATGGCCAGCCTTCTCCTCACGCAGCCCTCAACCAGTCCCGCTGCCTGACGCTTCACAAAGCCCCACGTCATCGCCGCGCTTCCAACAGCTGGACCAAGGCCAACTCCGCCTCCCGCCTCAGTGTCCGCCCTGCATCCGGCATCGCGCCCCGTTCATTCAAAAGCTGAGACAGTTTATTTACTTGTTTGTTTATTTATTTAAATGTATCTTTCTTGATTTCAGAGAGAGGAAGGGAAAGGGAGAGAGAGAGAAACATCAATGATGAGAGCGTCAGCATTGACTGGCTGCCTCCTGCACGCCCCCAACTGGGGATCGAACCCGCAGCCCAGGCCTGTGACCTGACCGGGAATCGAACCTCGATCTCCTGGATCCTAGGTAGACGCCTGGCCGGGCCAAAAGGTGAAACATTTTAAATTATTTTCTGAAAGTTCACTGATTGTTTAAAGGTACAAGATTTAAATTCAGCTTAAAATTATATTGTTCCACAGGCATATCTCAGAGGTATTGCAGGTTCGGATCCAGACCTCCACAGTAAGGCAAATATTGCAAAATAAGGCGAGTCACAAGAGTTTTTTGGTTTTCCAGTGCATATAAAAATTATATTTATGCCCGGCCAGGCGTGGCTCAGCGGTTGTGATCTGGTTTGATTCCTGGCAGGGCCCATGCTCAGGTTGTGGATTCGATCCCCAGTCGGGGGCATTCAGGAGGCAGCCGATCAATGACTCTCATCATTGATGTTTCTCTCTCCCTCTCCCTTCCTCTCTCTGAAATCAATAGAGATATATATATTTTTAAATATTATATTTACACTATACTTGTCATCTATCAAGTGTGCAATCGCATTGTGTCTAACACTGTACATACCTTAATTAAAAATACTTTAGTGCTAAAAAATGCTGACCATCATCTAAGTCTGTTGGAAAAACAGTGTCAATAGACTTGCTCAAGACAGGGTTACCACAAACCTTCAATTTATGAAAAACTCAGTATCTAGGAAGCACAATATAATGAAACACAATAAAAGGAAGTATGCCTGTATTTTTACATTTAGAAAATTTTTACTTTCCCCCTTTTTTTCCTCACAAGAAAATTTCAAATATGCTGAGATATCCAATACTACTTCTGAGTCAACAATGGTTACAATGTTGCAATATTTGTGTGTGAATGCGCTGGAACATAAATTATAGACATCGTGGCATTTTACCCCTACAATTTTCAGCATTTCTCTCTCAAGAATAAGGATATTGTCCTAAAACCTCAATACCACTATCACACCTAAAAAATTAACAATTCCAAAATATAATCTAATATCTAGTCCATACTTAAAATCCCCCAATTGTTCCCCATATCTTCTAGAGGTGAGTTTTTGGTTTTGTTTTTTTAAAACACACAATTTGTTTAAGCTTTATACATTACATTTGTTGTTGTGACTCTTTAGTTTCTTTCTAGAAAAGTCATTCTACTTTAGTTCCATTATATTATTATTATTATTTTTTAAGAAACCAGGCAATAATATCCTACACTATGACTGTCTGATGGGGGTCGATGGGGGTTGTATTTTCAGCTTGTTTCTTTACTCTCAGTGTTCCCTATAAGCTGGAGGTTAGGTATAAAGGCTTGATTAGACTCAGGTTAAACATTTTTGGCAAGAACATTTTTAGGGTGATATGCAAACTTCACACTATCACATCAGGAGACAGATAACATTTGTCCTGCTTTTAATGATTCTGAGTTTGATCACTGGCTCAAGGGGCTTCGGCTATTTCTACCCTGCCGCCTGTCGTTCACATGCACCAGGCCTCGGGTCAGGAGGCTGCATGTCTGTGCAAACGCTGCCAGGATCCCAACCTGCTGCCCAGCTCCGGTCTCCCCAGCATTTCTTCCTCACTCATTTCTTGCCAAGTTCTCTTTCCTCTGTTCAATTATTCTCGGCCTTTCCCCTGTGACGTTGGCTTCCTAACCAATCACCCATTTCCCCCCACCATTCAAGCAATTCGTGAAACTCTGTGAAGCTTCCCTGAATTTAAATACATTAATTACAGTTCATGCTGGGTTCTCAACCCCAAGCCTACAGCCTAATTATTAAAATGCGCCACAGAAACAAGGGCTGTTTCCGCCAAATTGGTTTTGTATATGCCCTCCTACTGCAACGCATCAACACAGATGCTTACTGATAACTCTATGGCATTAGAAGTCTCCATAGTCGAAATCTGCAGCTAATAGGACTATCCCCATGGGCAAAGCACTCGTGAGCATTTATAGAGCTGTTTTTAACCATTCATTTAACATCAACCTATACCTCCCTCTGTAGCTGTGTATGCAAACCAACCACAGCAAGAAAGCACAAATGTTTTCAAACATCTTCATAGGATACATCTTATATACTAGTAACTACTTGCCAGTAATGTGTGGCTGTTTTTTTCAAGCATATTCATGGTTATTTTCTATAATTTGGTCATCTTAATTCTACTAATTAATTGGGAAATCATAGGCATCCAGCAACATGTCTCACTAACAGGAAGACAAATGTATATACTGAGAATGTTTTTGTGAAAACAGGTCTTATTTTGAAGCTTCATATTAGTGACTACACCTGCAAAAAGAATTAAGAATCAAGATCACTGTCTGGATCCTTCAGACCAAAAGCCAGAGAGGCATGCAGATAAAGCAAAAGTTTTCTACCTAGTCTGAATTATTTGAGTAACTCTGCCAATTAGCCAGTTTGTTTTGATTATACAGTCCAGCTTAGGCTTAAAAGTAAATAATTTTTGAAATCCTTTTTCGTTAGCAATCACTGGCCTCATATTACACAAGAATAACAAGTCTGTGAAAACTTCACTTTCTTGCCTTTTATCATCCATGTTCCAACTTGGAAACGGGAGAGAGGCACTGGGCACACAGTTTTAAAAGGATCTGCTTTTTCCTTTCTCAGGACCAACCTAAGCTGGAATGACTAAACAATGCAAATGGCACCAAACTCATCCTCTCTTTCCAAGGCTGGTCCAGGGCAAAACTGTGAAGTGTATGAAGTTTATCTTCAACCCCATTGTCCCTACAAAAAGCTGCTCTTAGCACAAGAACCTAGACTTTACTTCTACGCTAAACTTAAACTGATGCCATTCTCTCCTCTCCCAAAAGTGTTTGTTTAAACCTGGTCTTCAATTAAGGAATGACAAGCTGTGGCAGGTTTAGGGGGCATTTCAAGTGCCTGCAGGCAGACGAAGGTTGTGTTTGGGGAGATCGAGCCTTCCCTGCCTTACTGAAGTTACATGACGTAAGCAGTCACCTTTCCTGACTATTACTAAGTTTGACACTATGGACAGATAGGTATCTTCTAAGCTAGTATTTGCATAGTTCTATAAAATTTGCCAAGCAGTGCTCACACTATCTTGTCTCATCTTAACAAAGCCCCATATTCCTGTCTCCACCTTATAGGTAAGAAAGCTGGTTCCCTGCCACCCAGTGCTGGGCCCCTGGCTCTAGCCAAGATCTTATAACTCCACATGGGCGCTCTTTCCAGGCAGGTCTACAAACCGATGTTGCCTCCTTCCCCTGGAAGAAAGGTGATACCCTACCAAGAACTTGCCCAGAACCTGAAAGTATTTTCCAGGTTTCTAAAGCAATAACAATGGATGCTTATTACCCCCAAATATTTCGCACACAATATTCTTTCAATATTCAGGCAAGAACAGAGATATTAATACATTCATCTCACCTCCTCTTCTCACGTGGGGCTGAAACCACAGAACAAAGCTAGTCTTTACAACATAACCCGAAGCAGGCAGCACCAAGCGGATGGGTAAAAGAGCCAATATTTCTGTTGCCTTCATTATGCACTTTCAAGGATGAGTTTTAAAGAAAAATCAGCCTTCCTCCTACTTTATGATATAGATATAGGCCTAAAGTTACATGTAAACTCAGTGAGAGTTAAAATGTACTTCAAACTACTCAGTCATTGCCATTCTAGTTAGGAGTTTTTATAAGAAAATAAAAAACGGCAAATTTTTATTGCGTGATGGGTTCGAAACTTGATTATACCTATTAACCTACAACTACGGCAAAAAGGCATAAGTATTTTCAAATGCTTTGCAGAATATACCTCATCCCTGGCACGATTTACACACAGATCACCTTAACTGAAAAACATAAACAGTAATCAGGGACTTCCAGCCGCATTTCTGGAAGTTCATCTTAAAGAGCAGCGGTTGGCAAGCTTTTCTCTAAAGGGCTTTGCAGACCGTATTTTGGGCTTTGCAGATTGTATGATCTTGTTGAAACTAAGCAATTCTACCATCAAGAGCATGAAAACAGGAGAGGCAACATGTAAATGAATGGATGTGGCTGTGTTCCAATAAAACTTTATTTACAAAACTAGGCCCATGGGTCAGTCTGCCAACCCCTTCTACAGAAAGGCATTTTCCCAAGTCTGGCTTTCCTGTTAATATGAGACCCTTTCTAGAAAACACTGCTAAAAGAGGCTGGGCAATGTGGCTTACCTGGGACCCAATGGTTTCCTGGAAGCACCGGCCAAGCTGGGTTTTCGCAGCCACGGGATAGACGTGGGGAATGACTTGCTGGTGGGAGTATGTGGAGTGGACCGTCTGGGTCTTCTGGACAGGATGCCCTTGGTATGAGATCTGGGATTGGCCTGGTTGGGCTTCTTTCACCTTCTGGCCTGTTGGGCCATCGATTCTCGAAACCTGATGGATCTGGACGGAAGCCTCAGGGGGGTGCTTCACATGGATATTGACTATGTTGGGAGGAAATTTCACTAAAACAGATTGAGAGGAAAACTTGTTAATCATGAGTAATTAACATGTGAATCAGCATGAAAGTCAATTTTACACACACATATATATTTATATGCATATATACCATACATAGGGTAAATTACACATATACAATGTATACATATATTTGCCACAAAGCCATCAAAGTAAATGAGAATAAAAGGGTAGACTTAAAATAAAAAATTAAACCAGAATTTATATATTTTAAAAAATTAACTATAAAGAAAAATTAAAACCTCTCACAGTAAAATACTCGTAAGATAAATTTTTTTTCAGGAGAGTCATAAAACTATGAAATTCATGCTGCTTGTGGTCACAGGGAGGTGTATTTTATCAAATAATAGTAATAAAGACTCAAGAATTGGATTACTTTTGAATTTCTCATGAAGCTTCCATCGCAAAGTTGTAGGATATACAGTCTCTCCACTAAAAGACGAAGTATAATTTCATAGAGCATAGTTCTCTTACCCTTAAACAACATATTGTGGATCTATATTGGTGCTTACTGGGACACACATGAAATACCAAAATGTTGATATTTTATATCTGTAACAAGATTTACTTTCCGCTGCTTTCAAACACAATTTCATCTTCTGATGCTAACATTCAAGTTTTAAAGAGTAACAGCAGTGACACTCTCTGATCCCTTTTTAAAAACTGTGCATGTGTAAGAGATGCCAGGTTTAAAAGAATGAGTGAGTCATAGAATTTCTGAGCTCCAAGTGACCTAGTTTACCTTCCTCTATAGATGAATAAATTGAAGCCCAGTAAGGATAAGTGATTGTTTAGAACTAAAACCAGGCACTCTTCAACTAGTCAACAGACATGGTGTTCACCAGCAGGAACAGCGAGACCACGAGTTCATGAACACTGTAAGGGCCAGATCACTCCCTGCTGTCCTTTCCATTCCCCGGGCCCGGCCAGAACAGGGCCAGGCCCATTCAGCAGCTCTTGGTGCTATGAGTCATCAGAGAATGATGGGCTCCTTTTTATTTTCTGTTTCTTAGATACCAAATCTCTATGGCTTAGAAAGCACTTCATCCACATACCTGGGCCCACGTGTTGCCCCTATTGCCATTTCTCAGGCCACAGACCATCATATACTCCATTCTGTTCCAATAACCAGCCCTGGCCATCTGCAGACACTTGGCTCCTGTATGGGTCTAGCAGGCTAGCTGAGGTCTGACGGATGGGCAAAATCAAAACCATCGGCTCACCTTTGACCCCTTGCTGACTGGTCATGGTCAGAGGCAAGGTATGGGTGGAGTGGACGACATGCGTTCCCAACGCCTTGCCTGACTGCTGGGAATGCTGATAAAGTTTGGGCACGCTGGCACCGTGGACTGGAATCTGGCAGAGCTTCCCTGTGAAGTTTGGAGGGCACTGGCATTTGTCCCTGGAGCTGCACTGGCCACCGTTCATACACGGAAGATGGCAAATCACTGAAAGGGAAAGAGAAATTGCGGAGAATTGGTCAGTTTCTCAAATGCTAAGTAACAGTCAACCAACAAAGCTCCCAAAACTCACAGTCCATATTTCTACTGACATTTGAACCAGTAAACAAAGAAGTAACTACACTATGGCAAAAAAATAACTATGCTATTATTCATGATCTTTTTCTTTCCATCTTAAGTCATTTAACTCTCCATTTCCTTGCGGTGCTCTCCCCAACAATGGAAAGAATTCATGGGAAGGGAACATGTAGAGGAGCCACTCAGGATTACTGTCTATCTCAGTGTCCTTTTAAGTGTCTTCTGCATTCTGTAATTACTTTTTCCTATTGAATTCCTAGTTCATGAGCTGTCTTCCTAGATTATAAACTCTTGATAAAGGGATATGTCTGGCCTAGTGACCTTTAGGTTCTTAGCACCTAGAATAATGCCTGGTACACAGTGGCCATTAAACATTTCCTCAAAGAAAAAACAAAGAAACCAAGGAGAATATTAAAAATAATATCTGTTGAGAATACAATCCGAAACACACCGAACTGAGTGTGACTCCTTAGTAAGAGAGACGGTTTGAATCCTGCATGCCCAGAATCTGCAATCTCACTGGGATAACAAGACCACAGTGAAACCTAGAAGATGCAGTGATTAGCAGTTTGGAATTTAATTTATTTAGAATACCGAAAGATAAAAGGGCACACTGGGTGAGGAATTTTCAGAGGAGTTTAAAAGTCCGACGAAACACTGCTTATGGCCAAGCTCCTTCTCACTAATGAATTCTTCCTACCGGCCTTTAAGCATGAGCAGATTTCTACCGGCTTAAAAACTAAAAGCCCCTCACAACCCCATTTCCTTCCAGCTTCTGCCGTGTTTCAGTTCTCCCCTCCACGACCACACTTTCCCAAAGAATCATCTGTTCACCTCCCCACACACTAGGCTCTAGCTTGGCCAGGTGGAGCTTCCCCTCCCCCACCCCTTCCTGGAAGCTTCTCTCACAAGGGTCTCTAATGGGCTCCACGCTGCTGAAGCAAAGGGGCAGCTTTCCGTCTTCCCCTGGTTTCCAAGGCCCACTCATCGGCTGCGCCTTCCTCTTCGCCCATCTCAACGTCCTCTGCAGAGGCCACTCTTTACCTGTCCTCTAAACACTCATGGGCTTTAAGATTTGGTATTAAAATCCTCTTGCTCCCTAACTCTGCACACTCTTCCTCTATGATTTCACCCTCATATGCTGACGTCTCCCAAAGTTCTACTTCCCAGCAAGAGATTTCTGCTGGCTCCAAACTACCTACTACTACACACGTCCACACAGATAGTCAGTCCACAGACATCTCAGACTCAACGAGTCCAAAACATAACCCACCGTCTTCTCCCCGATGCCCACACTGGCCGTAACCCACCGTCTTCTCCCCAATACCTGCACTGGCCGTAACCCGCCGTCTTCTCCCCGATGCCTTCATTGGCCGTAACCCACCGTCTTCTCCCCAATACCTGCACTGGCCGTAACCCGCCGTCTTCTCCCCGATGCCCACATTGGCCGTAACCTGCTGTCTTCTCCCCAATACCTGCACTGGCCATAACCCACCGTCTTCTCCCCGATGCCCGCATTGGCCGTAACCCACCGTCTTCTCCCCGATGCCCGCACTGGCCGTAACCCGCCGTCTTCTCCCCGATGCCCGCACTGGCCGTAACCCACCGTCTTCTCCCCGATGCCCACACTGGCCGTAACCCACCGTCTTCTCCCCAATACCTGCACTGGCCGTAACCCACCGTCTTCTCCCCGATGCCCACAATGGCCGTAACCCACCGTCTTCTCCCCAAAACCTGCACTGGCCGTAACCCACCGTCTTCTCCCCGATGCCCACATTGGTCATAACCCACCGTCTTCTCCCCGATGCCCGCATTGGCCGTAACCCACCGTCTTCTCCCCGATGCCCGCACTGGCCGTAACCCACCGTCTTCTCCCCGATGCCCTCATTGGCCGTAACCCACCGTCTTCTCCCCGATGCCTGCACTGGCCGTAACCCGCCGTCTTCTCCCCGATGCCCACATTGGCCGTAACCTGCTGTCTTCTCCCCAATACCTGCACTGGCCGTAACCCACCGTCTTCTCCCCGATGCCTTCATTGGCCGTAACCCACCGTCTTCTCCCCAATACCTGCACTGGCCGTAACCCGCCGTCTTCTCCCCGATGCCCACATTGGCCGTAACCTGCTGTCTTCTCCCCAATACCTGCACTGGCCGTAACCCACCGTCTTCTCCCCGATGCCTTCATTGGCCGTAACCCGTTGTCTTCTCCCCAATGCCCGCATTGGCCGTAACCCGCCGTCTTCTCCCCGATGCCCGCACTGGCCGTAACCCGCCGTCTTCTCCCCGATGCCCGCACTGGCCGTAACCCGCCGTCTTCTCCCCAATACCTGCACTGGCCGTAACCCGCCGTCTTCTCCCCGATGCCCGCATTGGCCGTAACCCGCCGTCTTCTCCCCGATGTCTGCACTGGCCGTAACCCGCCGTCTTCTCCCCGATGCCCGCATTGGCCGTAACCCGCCGTCTTCTCCCCGATGCCCGCACTGGCCGTAACCCGCCGTCTTCTCCCCGATGCCCGCACTGGCCGTAACCCGCCGTCTTCTCCCCGATGCCCGCACTGGCCGTAACCCGCCGTCTTCTCCCCGATGCCCGCATTGGCCGTAACCCGCCGTCTTCTCCCCGATGCCCGCACTGGCCGTAACCCGCCGTCTTCTCCCCGATGCCCGCACTGGCCGTAACCCGCCGTCTTCTCCCCGATGCCCGCACTGGCCATAACCCGCCGTCTTCTCCCCGATGCCCGCACTGGCCGTAACCCGCCGTCTTCTCCCCGATGCCCGCACTGGCCGTAACCCGCCGTCTTCTCCCCAATACCTGCACTGGCCGTAACCCGCCGTCTTCTCCCCGATGCCCGCATTGGCCGTAACCCACCGTCTTCTCCCCGATGCCCGCATTGGTCGCGCGAGGCGGCCTTCACAGAAACCTGACGGCAACTCTACCGCTTTTCCCATCCAAACAAACGCCCAGTCCTGGAAGTCCTCCCTTCTCAACATTCACCAAATACATGCCCTTCTTTCCCACCACAGGGCCTCGTTCCCTCTGGAACCGCACCACTCAAGGATCTCGCTTCATTCCCTACAATCCAGCTGCACAGAGCTGTGTCCAGGTCCTCAGCGTGTAAGGCTCTCTGGCCCCTCTCAAGCTTTATCCACGCTGTGTCCTTGGCCCAGAGCACTCATTCCATGCAGCCTCTCTCACCAGTCGATCTACTGCCTTTTAGACCCTGCTTAAACCTCACTTCTAGAAGCATTTGCTATTGCCTGTCACCTAGGTTTGGTGCCTGTCTATGCCTCCGTGGACTCTGACTCACCATGCCACGTGGCTTACTGCGTTACAAGTGTCTGCTGGCCTTTCTGTATGCCTCATTCAACTACAGCTCTGCGAGGTCAGGGACTTTATCTTGTTTATGTTTACCTCTAGCATGTAACTCAGCTTCTAGAATAAATGCAGCAGCTCAAAAAAACAGTGGATGAAAAATATATGCTTACTGCTCTATCAAATGCCATTCTAGGTACTACGGGAGATTCAGTCCCTGCCCTCAAGAGCGTTAAGAGCTAGCTAACCAGGGAGATTAGATAATACATGGTAACTAAAAGCACAGATCAGCAAATAAGTGTCAATTGGAAAATATAAACTATAAATCCTGTGGAACTTCAGAGAAGACGGGAGTCATTTCTGGGAAGTCAAAATAGACTTTATGGGAGGGATCATTTGGGGTAAGTCTTTGAAACTGGGCAAGATTCAGAAAAACAACCGACGGCATCCTAGGAGGACACTATGTGGAAAGGAGGGGAGGCAGGGATATTTAGGAGAAAATGAGAAAGTTTGTGTTGTTGAAACCCCAAGTTCCTGAGGGAGGAGTCAAGTGATAAACTAGAAGATGTAGGCTTGGGTCAAACTATGGATAAAGCCTCAATAAAAAGTTTGGGTTTTATTTTGTAATTAGTAAGTTGTTTTGGAGGCTCCAAGGAGAGAATTAAACAGGCTGAGAGAGTGTTCCAGGAAGATGACTCTTTTGATGGATTAGTTGCGATGGAGAGTGACTAGGTGGAGGAGCCAGTTAGGAGACTATTAAAATACAAGTTGAAAAACACATGGATCAGGACGATGGCAACAGAGTTGAAAGAAACACGAAGCACTATAATGACAGAGGGAGAACTGGTGCAAGATGAAGACGGGACACAGAGAGTGCACAGCAGGCCAAGACAGAGGGGAGGCAGTGGAGGAAGAGAGGGAGCCAGAGAAAAAGGACCAGGGTGACCACTGAGAAACTACGTCCAGCGTCTACGCGGCAGTTCGAGCCCAAACTGCCTACGCTGGACGGGGTCTGAACAGCTTTCTCCAGCGCCTGGTGTCCTCTGAGGTGCTGGGTAAGGGAAGACGCCTCAAAGCGGACTCCAAGGTTGAGTCGAAGGCGTCCTAACTCCCACTCCAACTCTGATCTGGATTTCTAAGTCACAGCTTGGCTACCCTGGACGGATTCAATGTGTCATGGGCAAGGGGAGCCAGGCCAAGATTTAAATGTACTACAAATAATTTATAACTGGAATACAGGCACCACTCACTCTGCATGGTTCCAATACGCATGAATTTCAGTTTCCGCCGTTTAGTTAATTAACACCAGTCCCCCCACAGCATGGCTGGAGCTGCAGTTGCCACAGTGTATTAACGGTGAGCAACCGCATCAAGCTCAAGCTTCGCTGCGAGCTCTCTGGTCCACACACGCTGCGTGAGTAACAGATGCGCACTGCGATCGGTAACCGATCATGTCGCTTCCTCCAAAGTCTGTTGGTGACGGATCCCTGCACATCTGCTCCCGGTTCAGGCACAGGCGGGAAAGCGTGTAGGTGTGTCGCCTCCTCATAGCGCAGTGGTAAAATCAATAACATTTTACGGAAGTGGGTAATGAAAAGGCTC